CTTTCAAGCACCACTGTATGATTTTATACTTAGCTTTTCCATGTTGTTTTTGTTAAAAAAAATAATGACTTGGTAGAATCTGTTGTACATTTTTGCACACTTCAAGTTAAATTTGAATAATTTCAGCATCTGGTAATGACCAGGTTAGTTACATTATCTACTGATATGTAAAACCCTAAAATTGAAAGAAGATTAACTTTCTTTCTTCCTTAGACTGTAAATAAAAATATGGTTTTATAGTGTAGATATGCAAATCTATATTTCAATCATCTCAAATCATACAATTAAAATAAATTAACTGAAATACAGATACATTTAAGCTGTTTGTGTTGTTTTTATACAAACTTAAACGACCTTACATAATATCAACAACAATAGCCTAAAACATTTAGATTAAAGAGCTCTGGGATCAGAATGTGTCCAGATTGGTGTTATTTTTGATCAGGACATGTCTTTTATCCCCCACATTTAAAACGTTACTAGAACCGCCTTCTTCCACCTGCGTAATATCACTAAAATTAGAAACATCTAAAAATTATTCAGAAAAACTGGTTCATGCATTTGTCACGTCTAGACTGGACTATTGCAATGGTTTATTATCTATGTGTCCAAATTCTTCTTTAAAAAGTCTTCAGTTAATCCATAATGTTGCTGCCAGAGTCTTAACTGGAGTTAGTAGGAGAGATCATATCTCTCCAGTTTTAGTTTATCTCCACTGGCTCCCTGTCAAGTTCTAACCTACAAAGCTCTCAACAACCTAGCTCCATCTTATATTCAAGATCTTATTGTTCCATAGTTTTCTAACAGAGCACTTTGCTCTCAGACTGCAGGCAAGCTTGTGGTCCCTAGAATTTCCAAAAGCAGAATAGGAGGAAAATCTTTCATTTATCAGGCTCCTCTCTTGTGGAACCAACTTCCAGTTTCTGTCCGTGAGGCTGACACATTGTCCAGTTTTAAGACTGAGCTTAAGACTTTCCTTTAAAAAAAAAATCCTATAGTTAGGGTGGATTAGCATGTTATTCTGCCTTAAGCTTAGACTACCGGAGGACAAATTAACACAATTTCTTTAAATGAATTGTTAAAATTGAATAGTTTTCATTTGATACTGTTTCTATCTTAACATGTGGTTTTTGACCTGCCATTGTGTATCTGTTCTTACCAAACCCAACTGGTCGAAGCAGATGGCTGCTTGTCCTGAGCCTGGTTTCTCTCTCTAGTTTTATACATTTGTCTTGGAATCTAGCTGTTTTTTTTGTTTTGTTACCTTTTTCCTTTTAGCCATCCTATTTGTTAAAAAAAAACAAAAAAAAAAA